GATGAGGTCCATGTACGGCTGGAGGTGGTCGTGGGTGAGCTCGATGCGTCCGACGGGAAGGCCTTCCGGCACGGGCGCAGTCTGGACGACGACATCGACGTCCTCCACGTAGAAGTAGTCTTCGAGGAAGTCGACGTCATGCAGCGAATCTTGGCCGAGGGCCATGCAGGTAAGCGCCAGCGCGAGGAGCGCGACCACGAGCGGTCGAAGGAAGCCGCCCATGTGATGTGATGCGAAATGGCACCACGTGGCATATGCCACGTTTACCGAAAAAGACGTGGCCTGTTTTAAATTCGGCAGATGCCACATATTGGTTCATCGAACGCAAGCATCGAGAGCGCCCCCACGAAGGATGCAGCGAGGTATTCCATCCGCGACCACGATCAAGTTCGTAGGTTCCTGTATTACGAATACCGCCAACGTCTATTGAGCGACGGTTCCAGGCTTGGAAACCCCGAGGCGATGCTGCTGCATGGCATAATCCGTGCCCGTTTCGCTAAGCTTTTCGTATCCACTACAAAAGCCCTGTGGAAACCCACAATATGATGGAGCTTGCTAAATAGCATCATCAGGCAGTTTCGACTTCCGGCAATGGCGCGAACCGCCATTACTAAACGTGTCTCCAAAGGTCAAAAGTGCATGGTTACGAGCCGCCCCCGCATGACCAAGGGAGACCATTACGACGGGGGCATTCAATATGTGGATATATCTGACCATTAATGTTCATCTTCGTGTTGCAGCCGCATGCTACGACCAAGGAGGCACTTGAAACGAACGAGCGAGCGGTTGGAATTCCCGCGAAATCACATTCATTCCTGAATATCCGGTCGATTGCCGGATAATGGGCCAATCACGCCATGGGATGTCGACGACGCCCTGCAAATGATCTAATCAAATGTGCGACGCACTAGGTCGCACGATCAGATACCCGCCATGCTTGACCGTTCCGTTGCTGAGATCTGAGGCCTCTTTGAACTTGGTGCTCACTTTTCGTTGATTCTTCATGACGACAGCCGACTCATTTCTCGCGCAGGGCTCGGACGCCTTCCATGCGACCCTCGCAGCGCAGCTCGAAGCCGCCATGGACAAGCCGATGCCGCAGGTCGAGGTTCAGTTCCACAATCTCTCGATTTGTGCCGAAATGGTTGTCGCGGCCAAGGACGGACCCGACCTTCCGACGCTTGTCAACGAGCTCAAGAAGGCGGTGCGTGGTCTCTTTGCGGCCAAGCGGTCGATCCGGAAGGACGTGTTGCACCCGATGACCGGCGTCTTCAAGCCGCGCACGACGACGCTCGTGCTTGGCCAGCCCGGCTCGGGCAAGTCGTCGCTCATGAAGCTCTTGAGCGGCCAGTTTCTCATGGCCAAGAACATTTCTGTCGGCGGCCAAATCACGTACAACGGCATGGCCCTCGAAGTACTGCGATCCAAAGTACCCCAGTTTGCGTCGTATGTGCACCAGCGCGACTACCACTACGCGACGTTAACGGTCAAGGAGACCTTGGCCTTTGCTCACGCGTGCAGCGGCGGCGCGACCGTGCCACCGCACGTGGCTTCTGCGCTCACAAAAGGGTCGCCGAATGCAGTCACGGCAGCGCAATCCATGCTAGCGTCGCTTTACGCGGTCTTTCCAGACGTCGTGACGCGTCAAATGGGCCTCAAGATCTGCCAAGACACGATCGTCGGCAACGGCATGCTCCGCGGTGTCTCGGGCGGCGAGCGCAAGCGCGTGACGGTCGGCGAGATGGAGTTTGGCATGAAGCAGGTGTCATTCATGGACGAGATCAGCACGGGCTTGGACGCCGCGGCCACGTACGATATCGTCAAGGCGCAGAAAGGCATGGCCGCGTCGCTCAAGAAGACGATTGTGATTGCGCTTTTGCAGCCATCCCCCGAAGTCTACAACCTCTTTGACGACGTCCTCCTCCTCAACGAAGGCTACGTCATGTACCATGGTCCGCGCGCCACGTGCTTGGCGTATTTCGAGTCGCTCGGCTTCAAGTGCCCGGCGCACCGTGACGTGGCAGATTTCCTACTGGACCTCGGCACGCCGCAGCAGGACCAGTACCGCGTTGCGGCGGCGGATCTGTCCGTCCCGCGTACCCCGAGCGAGTATGCGGCGGTCTTTGAAGCGTCGGCCATCTATGCGAGCATGTTGCAGTACGTCAACTCGACGGCGACAGAACGACGCTCTCGCGTATGATGCGATGCTACTGCTTCAGTAGCTGGCCTGGAGTGATGGTTTAGATGAATTTCATTATCATGTCCAGGTCCGAGCAAATCGTCCGATTTGCTGTCTATCATTCAATTCGATTCTACGCCAGTAACAGGGCAGCATACGATCCTTGTCTAT